TTAATTTATAAACCATTAATTAAATTTGTCTACTTAATAATAATACTAAAATTAATATTTATTTTTATATTTTAATATATGTATATATTCTATACATATTAATATATGTTGAAAAAGTACCCTAACATGTAGTCTACATAGGTGAGAAAAATCTTATAAAAAATATAAAAATTAACCATAATTTCACTACAATATGTATTAGCCTTTGGTTAAAATACTAATTTGATTTCTCAACTTTTAAAATTTATTGCAAAATTATTTTTAAACTACAAAAAATACAAAAAATTATCATTAAAATTTCAACGTTCAATACCAAAATAGTTCTTTCTGTTAACACATATATCATGTGACTTGTTATCTTACTACGAAATTAATTTTTCTTTAAAATACTAATAACGTGTAAAATCAAAGTCATATTTTGCCATCATAATATATTCCTATTTACATATTAAATTGATATGTAATCAAAGTTGAAAAACCAAATTGATAATTATAATCAAAGCTTAAGGACTAAGTTGGTACTTATGTTTAAAGTTCAAGGACTTCTTATGTCTTAAACTTAGGATTATTTTAGTACTAAAAATTGAAGTTTAGGGATAATTTTAGTGTTTTTTAAAGTTTAGAGATAATTTTAGCATAAATCTAAAAGTTGAAGGATTAAATTGGTATTTTAACCTTAATATTTTAATTGGAGAGTTGATGAAGTAAAAGTCAATTTTTATTTTTTAAATGCAAAATAATGTAAAATGTTGCATTAATTGCACCTATTACTCTCTTTATTTTAGAATAATAAATATTATCTAATTTAAAATTTGTATCAAAATAATAGTCATTTTCTCTATTTTTAAAGCAAAAAATATATTTTTTTTATTTTAATCTTAAATTTATCTCTTAACTTTAATTATCCATCCTCTGATTAAAATAGTATTTTTATTTTTATTTATTTGAAGGGTAAAATAAATAACAATAGAATTTGTCTCCAAAATCTTAATACAAAGGTAAAATCAAAAAATTATCCTGAACGAGGGTTCAGGGAAAGGGTCTGGCTGGTGGAGGAAATTGAGCAGGCTGGATGTTCTGGAAAAAAGGAGGTTTGCTGCCCGGTAGTTTTGAGCTAGAGGTTGGAAAGGGAAATAGGGTTAGTTTTGGAAGGAGAGTTGGAACAATATAGGAGTGCTTGCTAATGCTTTCCCAAGATTGTACTTAATCTCTACATGAAAGGAAAACACTGCGCAACAAATGGGAAGGTGGGAAGACGAGACATGGACATGGAACTTTGAATGGAGGTGAAGCTTATACTCCTGGGAGTCCGCTTCACTGCAGGAATGAAAGAAACGGATTGCTATGGTTGAACAC